TCGATCGGAGAAAACGGCCTTTGATTGGAAAGAAGACGGAAGAAGGCGCGAGTAAAGAGACAACTCACGTTATTGTTCTCGCGAATTAGGGTTTTATTGATAACGGACAAAGGATTTCTTTTTATTTCTTGTGAAAGAGTCCTACGATTCCAATGGGGAACAAATTTACAAGGGAAATGTTCGGTTGGGCTCCTTCGGTTGAGACGTCTCGAATAATCAAACGAAAGCGTTCCTGCAACCTCGTCAAATTCAAACTCCCGATCCAGATTTATTCTCTCCGCGATTAATTAGGGAGAAAACCCCTTGAAAAATGTACGGATGACGATCCTAGATGGTTTCACCGTGTCCGGCTTCTAACTTCCGCGACAAACACGACGCGATCCGTTTAAACGCGGAGCAATTGTAGTCGTAGGAGCGATGGCGGTTAAATGGCCTCATTTTTCCTCTAATTCCATCAGGGGGGGGGGGGTGGCAGAGAGACGCGGGGCGCCCCCGACATCCCCCGAAACGATGGGGAAGTAGAGACAGACACACCCCGTCTAGCTGGCAGGTCGTAGAGCGTGCTCTCCGGCGGCTTTGACATGCAAATTGCCTGACAATGAATTTCGTAAAACCTTTTACCGCGGAGTACGCTCGAGAGGAGCTCAGCTGAAAACGCTCTCGTGGGCCCGCCCACCCACGCAGAGCCTAGCCTCCCCTACCGCGTGGAAGAAGACGCCAGACGACGTCTACCGTATTAATCACTGTCTACCGGCATCAGGGTGCCGTGCCACCTCTCGACCTCGACGATCGTGAATCCTCCCGATGCTCTAAAATCAGTTACTACGTCCTGATTCGCAAGCTCATCGCGTATACCGCGGATCGTGATTAATATGAACGTCGTTCCTGGAATAATCGCCGTCGAAACCGGGGAATAACACGACAGAGGAGAAATTGGGACGTGGGTTACGGTTACCAGTATATGGAAAACTCATTGATCTTATTTTTGAAACAACGATGCCGGATGAAACGTCATCTAATAATTTACGCAACTGGTCTTAAATTTCGACGAGTTTTATGCTTCCCGAAGGAATCTCGCGGAATCTAATTCGCATTAAATTAAGGAAGTAATATTAATATTCGCTGTTGTAAGCGCAGGCACGATGTAGTTTATTCGTAAGCGATGCCTCTTGCAATTAATATATAAGGTCCAATAATGATGGCAAAGCTGGGCACGGTACCATTTTCATTTGCTAAACGTTTCGATCCTCCTTTTTCTTTTTCCGCCTATATACAGAGTCACATAAATTGGAAATAACGGTCGCTTCCATTAGCGAGCAGTACCAGGCTTTCACATTTCATTTTTTAATATTCTCATCGTTACGTGTAGCTTATGTACCTTGTTTATTAATTTCCCGGCATATAGTGTAACGCGTATTAATTTATTTATTAGCACGAGGGCTTTGCAAGCGTTTCATTCCTTGAATCGTTCTTTTATTCATCGGGTGAAACACGATCGTTGTAACGATAATTTAAGTTTAATTGTTAAGCGATACTTGGAAGGATTAATATGATCGTTCCTCGCGTTTGACATTCCGTTGTTTGAAATTTTGGAACACTTCTACGTAGACTGTGTGCCAAAAATATCGTTTCAGACTCTTCCCTGTTCTAATGTATCGAATTGAAGATGGCACAGAGCGTAATGGTAGTTACGATTGCGTCGTGTCGCGGACGACTTATTTTACGAGAAACGGGGCATAAAAGTTTTCTGTTGTACTATTTGAAGCTGAAGTTTACGATTGCCTTCGCCGGGACCGGTCGAGCTTGCTTCTTTTCCTCGTTTTCCTTGCAGAATTTGCAACAGAGATATCCTTTAATAGCCTTTTTAATAATAGCGTAATCGCTCTTGACATTCCACGTTATTATCCAATCGTATCGTATTTCAAGTGTTAAGAAAAGGGTTCGGCGATATTGATTCGCGCGAGCCCCCTTAAGGTTGCGACAGAAGGATCAATTGGATTTTTCGTTGACTATACACAATGATAGGGGTGGCGGTGCTGGATCGTTGAATCCCAGCTAGCCACGTAATGGGTATCGAGAGACATCGTTAAGCGTCGATCTCTTCTTCCAAAGTGACTTGGCGCCTCGTTTCTGCTCTCCTTTTCACCCCCTTTCTCTAGCCGACATCTCCCATCTTTTCTTCCTTTCTCTCTATTTTATATCATTTCCCCCGATGAACATATTCTCTTTATCGTGTCACCTCGGCGAGGATCCTCCTCTTCTACATTATCTTATTTTTTCTGCACTACAAACATTCTCCACGTCGTAAGATTTATTTATTTTCCCTCGCCCTTTCGTTTGTTCGAGCATCCTGTAAACCTCTTCGCCACCCTTATCCCTATTTCTCGCTACATCCTCGTACCCCGATTTCACTTTTTCATTTTCTTTACTCTTTTCATCCCTCTCGTTCCTCACAATCAATCCCTCTTTCGCACGGCCTCCTTTCGCTCGCTTTTTCTCCCCGTTCGTTTCATACAGCCTCGCCGTACACGTCTCTACGCCGGTTCTCAGTTTCTCTCTGCTATCGGTCTTCCAGCCCCCCCCCCGCCCCTCCACTCCCCCCCCCCTCCCAGCTCTCCGTCTTCTTCGTGGCCGTCGGAGAGGGTGCTGTAAGGCAATGTCAGTGCACGTTTCGCTATAGATCGCGATGGAGTCTGCGAAGGTGGAGGATAGTAGGTTGAGGTAGATGGATGCCAAGGAGTGGGGAAGGAATGGGGGATAAACCATGATGTCGTTGATTAATACGGTTTACCAGTAAGTGTAACGGAGTGTGCAGAACGCGTCTCTGTCCCCTCCACCTTCTCCTTGTCCTCCTCCACCTCCTTCGACGCTGCCACCACCACGTTCAGATTCGAGGGAAGCAGAAGCTGCACCCTCCACCCTCGTGGAATCCGTTGAACCAACCCGGAGCCACGTGCCGATCAATGGCGTCTTGTCTCTGGTTGGTCGAGCCAGGAACAACCCCCTTCGTTTCGTCCCTCTCCCTCAGCGCCAGCTCCCATCCTCGTCCCTCCAACGGTTTAACTCTGTCCCTCGCGAACCTACCCCTCTCTGGCCCGTGCCCTCCTCCCCCGTCTTCCTCCGGCTTCTCGCTCTAACCGAAACGTATCTTCCCTTTTCCATCTCGTTTCCTCCCTACGTCTTGCGTCTCCGCTCGTTTGCTCCACTTCACCCCGGGTCCTTCTAAGCGAACAGGGGCGAAAGGGGTTGCTCTAGCTCTCTCCGAAGTGAAACTTCCTTTGCTCCATCCTGGTCTCGTGCTCTAGGTCTAACCGTCTCTGCCCCTTGCAAACTTTCCCCTCTCTTCTTCTCTCTTATCTTCCTCTGTTTCATCGGGTTCTCTCGTTCCCTCCGGAACGGATCTTCTCCTTTTCCCAACATTCTTCTCTCTCGCGGAGGATCTTGCACGCGTCCCTCTCTTCGGGTCTGTTCATCTTCGTTCCTACCGAGCATTCCCCTCTTCGGGTTCCACTTCTCTCTCGTCTTCCTCCTTTCTCCGTCGGTTTCTTCGCTCTCTCTGAAATGTATCTTCCTTTTCCCCATCTCGCTCCGTCTCGGAGGTCTTCCGTCCTCGTTCGTACTTGTCGTCTTTTCGTCCGGGTCTCCCCCACCCAAGCCGTCTCGAATGGCTCTCCTCCTTTTTGTAGACACAGACCTCACCGCGTACTCCAGAGGAGGGTTGATCCCATAAGAGAGGGCGAGCTTTTCTTATGAGGAGCATTGATTGCCAACAACCCCTTCCGCTTGCCCTGCCACCCCCCCCTGGTCCCCCGTCCCCACCCCCTGCCCAACCATAGCCAAGTTTCACTCGATGCGGTCGTCCTCTTTCGTTTTCCTCTTTCCTCGTCACGGTGATGGCACCTCGTCTTGGCTCTTCAGAGGTGCGTGCGCTTCGTTTTAAAAATCCGTCGTCCTCGGTGCGCGGATCAGCCGACGAAAGTGGTTTCGGAGCGGAAATGTGATGCGATCAGCGTTCTTATAGCGTATCTGGTCACTATTATGGCGACGTTATTCGCGGGAATAATAAATCTCGGCCGTAATTGAATGAGGAATCGAGGCTCGCCGCTTGATTCGGTGGACGATTGCTGATTCTTCTCTTGAGAAATAAAGTTCAAACGTAGACGCGTAGCTGGGAGTACCGGGGTCTCGACTGATCCAAGGCAGGTCTAGTCGATGGTTATTAGAATTAGTTTCAGGAATTAATTTTTTCGCTTCGCGCTCGCATTATCGAGAAAAGAATTTTCGTTCTCTCGATAAACCATTAGTTGGATGAAGTCTATTATTTTTTATAAGAACCAGACGGAATGAATTTTGAATAAATTCTACGAGATTCGAATGTTTTATGAAACAACTTTAGTTAGTCGAGTTAATTTTCGCTTCTTTGAGAAATAATCTTTGCCCTGCGATTGGGTCGGTGTATCGTAAGTTCGATATATCCGTGCCTACGCTGTTTCAAACTGATTACGAATATATCGGTGAGTACACGTTGTCGATCAATCTCTTCCTTTGTACACCGCGTGTAATTCAACCCTCAATTGCCATTAGATGTTAGTACTCCAGTAAATCTCTCTGATAGGTTCACCATAGCCTTTGATCACTGAGTTGATTCAAGGGATCCCTTAAGTGAACACCTGATCCTTCACAATATACCATAACGGGGATGTCGTGGAGATTGAATCATTAATTTGCAGATCCGATATACATAACACATCCAATAAATCCTTAATTTGTTGGTCTCACCTGTTATACGATTAATAACAGTATCGGATAATGAAAATATTAACGAAGATCGTTTTGTTGTAACGGCCGTAAAGCGATATCGAAGTTTACGATATTTATCGTATTTGTTATACTTTTCATATTATATTAAATGTTGTATGCGTATTTTTTTTAAGAATGTATAAGAATACAGCGACTGATTCTCAATAAAATATTATATCGTAGGGGAATTATTTTCTTGTACCGATTCGTATAAATAATCTGTATTCAAATTAAAACCGAGACCTGTCTAGTTAACGCAAAATAATATAAATGTTACTGCTTGCCATGAATATTACTTTTACCTTGATTAGCGTCGACCTGAATTTTCTCTCTGCGGTCAGCTTTTCGTGCATAAATTTGCACTTCGCGAATACTATTAAAAAAAAAAAAAGAACAAGGTTTTAACTCGTATCTCACCGTAGGTGTTTCTACAAAAAAGTGTCTCCATTCTTTTTTCATTTTTAACGTTTCGACAATAACATCGATCGCGAACGTACACGATCCACCCTAGTAATACCAAAGTACTTTTATTTCGACGCGTGAAAATTCACGTTTGCTGAAACGAAATTTGATCATCGGTCATCGTATGCTGCAATGGGGTGGGATAAGACCAGAGACAAAACAACAATTTTTTACACAGGCGTTTATCACGAGAGAACAAGTTTATTCGATAATTCACTACCCACAATTCAGGCTACATAATAGTCGCTAGTCTGTAACATACTTGTTATTAGATTATCCTTGATTAGCAATGACAATTCACCGGGATGTAATATAATACAGGTCTCTACTGGTATCTAAGTTTCTTTCGTCGTTAAACCTCGGTTCCGCGATTCAGAAGAACAACGGTAATCGTATTGCAACGCGAACAAAACGATTGTTACTCTTGTTCAATCGTAAGTGGCGACGATGTCAAAGTGAATATAGACGATTTATGGATCAGTGCGATCATTCCCGGAGATCGACGATTTTATACCATTGTTCTTCGCGTGTGGTAGCGAACAGACATCGACCTTTGGGCAACTTGCGCTTCTAAGACCGTGCGTTACGATCCAAACTCGCGAGTCTTGGACGATACTCGAGACCCCTTTGGATCATTTTCGAATCAGGCTTGGAAAACTGGAGATTCTTTTGACTTTCGTTATTATTATTATTATTAGTTGTATCGTTTCATCCGTTTTCCACTGATTATTGCTTTACTTTTTTTAAATTTTGCAATCAGTTAACTTGGAAGAGGATGTACCTAGCACTCACTGAATTCTAGTATTTTTCTGTACTTTTGGCAATGGTACTTCGGGAAAGATATAATTAAAACTGACCTGGTCGAACTGATTAAATGTAATTACAACCGTTTATAAACTCTCAGTTGTAATTGCCACGAATTAATTCTTGATGCGAAGAACGTTCATATTTAAAATTCGAAATCGAGCCGATCGTTCCGTAAACCGACAATTTTTGTGCGTTTCGCCCCGACAGCAAAAACGAAAGCTTTTACGCTAATGAAGTCATCAAGTGACGCAAAAAATACCGAACGGTTGTAAAACACGACTATGAATAGTTGATTCGATCTTGTTTTTCGAACGCAGTATCGCTCGACGTTCGGCGAAAAAATCCGAGTGGAGTTTATTACTCGACGAAATAATAGGAAGAGGTTGTATTAATTAATTAAACGCGGAACAAAGACCGCAAATTTATCTTCGATCGGTTTTGGTTCTTGAAACAGCATCGAAAAAAGTGTCATTCGATGCTGCACGCGTCCTTTCAATTTTACGTTTAATGCTTCCACAGAATAAAAAGATCGATCAGAAAACAGCGATCGCTCGAGGTTATAAATCAGTCCTGTAACGGTTCCATATCGTTTAACACAGTTTTATCCGAACCTGTCTCTTTCCTCGTCAAATTTTGATTTGTGTAACCTACACCAGACATCATGCACACAAATACTATATACATACACCACACGCATTTAATTGGTTCACTTTGCAAAGAATTTGATCATAGAACTTATATGGAACCTATATAAGACCAAAGTTGGACAAGTATAATATCTCGTATAAAATCGATATACAATTGTTGTCGACACAGAAACGATGTATAAATGTTTCGGCTACTTCTGAGCATCTGTAAAAAAAAAAAAAAAAAAAAAAACAAATATCGAACTCACATCTGCCTAACATCTCTGCCTAAACGTTAGTTCGATCTAAGAAATCTCCAAGTTCCGTGCACCTGTTTTAGGGTCACGAGTATCCACGCATCCGAATATCCGAGAAACCACGATATTTAACACCGATATCCTCTCTGTTCGACTAAATCAAAACAAATTTTTACCTATACAAATATTATTCCAGCTGGCGCGTGCTCGCATCGCGCGATTAAAGCGGATGTCCGTGTTACTTGGATAATACGGATATCCGTATTATTTGAATAATACGATAGAGTAATCATATAATTCAAGAAAATTGTCGTAGACTCGATTTAAGTGTGATATAAATTATCCTATCGCAATATAAATTATCCGTTCAACAGTTTGATTGGGTTGCGACGCAACGTTAAATGATTTCTCGTCTCCCGAAAATTATATATCGGAATTTTATGTTTCGTATTTATTGCAACGGGTACTTTATCGTTGCGACGTGTTTACTGGCTTTAAATAAACAATTCTTTTAATTGAAACTTGGCGAGCATTGCAATGATAATACGGATATCGATATCGTTCGAATAAACTTTCCAATGGGTATAGCCGATGTTGCAATTCGATTACTAGTTCCTATGGACCCAACTGCTTATTAGGTGCGTCATTTTTTGATTTTCAAATATGTTCCATGAAGCGGAGCGAAAGAGCTTCGGTTTTCGCGTGATTTTGATTAAGTCATCGTTAGCAAATTTCAGTTCGAATACGTTCGATTTTTCAGAATGCGCTCCGAATAAATTCCTAACTCGTGAAACTGGAATCAATCGTCGAAATGACTAATATTTACTTCGAAGCGAATAAAGAAGTAACACTCGAGCACTGAAACGTGTTTGACGAAAATCCATCGGTGACCGATAATTGTGAAATGACGTCTTTTAGATTAGCGAATGTTTAAGAACTGCAATATTTTCAATACGGTTAGAAATATTTCGATATCGTTCGTATCTGTCCGAAATCGAACGTTGTAACATCTACGAATAAGGTAATAAAAACCAGCGCCATGTTGGAACAGAAATTACGTTCCCGTGTAAGCAACAGCGAACAGAACAAGGTTCCGAAGGTTTAAATCTACTATCGAAGTCTCATCCTCTAACATTATTCGTTAATACTTGTTAATGTAAAACGCTATATCACCGTAAACAAAGTTACTCGTAACTGATCCTCGTGTTCGTCAAGAATCCAGTTAAAAATATTCGAGGACAGGTCTCAAACGTGAACACGCGAAACCTGAAAAGCTGTAAAATCGAACTCTTCCGTGGTTTCGCAAAATCGAACTAAAATTCAAAAACGTTAATACACACGAAATTCCAGATTCGACGAAATGAACGCGAACGTAATAAAAACGAAAAAAAAAAAAAAAAGATGATCGAGATTGTACCTCTAAGTATCCGAATTAAGGACTACTTTCAAGTTAATAGTTTCTCAACAACTGCATCAACAACACGAGCACGGGCATCTCTCGAGACCTCGAATGCTCTCGAACATAGCAAGGGGTGTAACCAGGGTGCTGGAACGAGGGGCGATGTTATCCGCGATTTATCTTACTTTCGTTTCTAATAAAACTTAATTCGAATCAGAAAATGACAAAAAAAAAGAGGTTGTACTTTTTGTACAATAACAATGTACAAACGGACCGCGGGTCGAAATTAAAAAATTGCGTTAACGAAAAGTCGCCTGCTCCAGAAACGATTCCACTCCTGAATTTTTCAAGCTACAAAATAAAATTACAAAAACACATTCGTAAATATTTTAGCAAGCCAAAACTATAAAGGACACTCTGCTCGTCCTTCTCTACCTCCGCGCAATGGTTACCCCCTCGAATACACAATCTGCCCACCACCTCAGTCCCTCCAACCGTGTCTAAAATATTATCATTCTTAAACGACAGGAAAAGAAACGAGAACAACGGCAAACCAGTGTCCAGAAACGTATACGTGCCCAGTTGCAATGGCCAGTCGATTCGATCGGCTGGTACGCGAGTGCTGCGACGATCTTAGGGATCCTCTTTCGTGGTCGGTTGTATCTGGTGCACTATACTGGGTAGATGGTGGTGGTGATGCTCGGGCCTCCTGGAGAGTCCCAGCAGGGGCGGTAGCAGCGGCAGGTGCAGGGGCAGGGGTAGCCCGCCTGGAAAACCAGCGAGTCCTCCCAGAAGAGCCGAGGCGGTCGAGTGTTCCTGAGCTTTTCTTCTGAGCTCCGCTAGGCTGCTGTTCCTATGAAGATCGCCGGTTCCAGGCTTGCAGCATCCGCACATGGAGCCAGGCCAACCCGCCGGTGACCAGGACAACATGTCCTGGAGACTGCTGGGTCGATGGTCGCTCGTGGTCCACAGGGAAGGCGTCGTCGAGGTCAAAGATGTCGGCGCGCTGCTGACCACCTTGTTGCCGAACAACGGCGGGGAGAACTGGGCCGCCAGGTGAGGAGAGAAGAAGAGCGACGTTGGTGGTTCCACTGGCCTGAAGCCCGCTGCCAACCCTGGACCACTGGAACATCGAAAAACGATACTCGTCGATTAAGAATAAAATCGAACGTGGCGTTTTCACATTGCACGCTGAAGAAAGATCTTTATAGATAGTCTCTAGCAATTTACTGAAACTGTTATATAAAGAGAATGGTAATAAAATTAGAAACATTTGAATATCAATCGTGATATATAATATGTAAATTCCTTTAAAGATGTCCGATCATTGTCAAGAAATTAGAAGATGTACAGACGAAATTTCTTATTTTAATGATATACTGAGACTGGCACTAGAAAAACGTAGAAACGAGTACGTCGGAAAATTCATTGGATACCTACTCGTCGCGGCCCGAGTTCCCTAATAATTCAGATTCTCGTAAACGGACTTTTATTCGACCAGTAATTAATAAACACCGGTTTATCTTTCGTACGAGCTGTTTATCTAGGTAAGAAATTCGCCTGGCGCAAAGTTGCGGGGCGAGAGAACGGCACGGCGAAGGGATGCGGACGGGAAAGCAGAAGGGCCCACGAAAACGCTAACCCGATTAGCACGCGCGATATTCCGCATCTTCCGCCAGCCAGCAGAAGCTGCTTCGAGGCGCTGATGATTATCTCAAATATTAATCGCAAATATTGTTTAATTAATGTAACGAGCCCGAGGTGAAGCTCGAGACGGGGCGCAAGAGGGACGGAAACGCGGATGGCGGCGAGGTTCGTGAGTCGAGGGGATACGGGAAAGATGGGAGAAGCGAGGTAAGTAAACAGAGAGATACGATGGCAGACAAACATAAACATACACAAGTGGATACAGCAGTTTGGAGAAAAAGAGAAGATTGTGATCTAAGTGGAGCTACCCGGGAAACTTCAAAACCGACGGACGGGGGAAAGAGTAAATAATTTTACGAGGATGCACGATGGGAAAAGAAAATTAAAGCGAGGCAGGGAATTTAACGATTGGGATAAACAGCGGTATTTACAGTTATCCGTGTAATTAATTTACGAAATATTATTAAACAAACGAAAGTATCCGTTACGATCAAAATTACGGAAGGTGAAACGAGTGCGTATAATTAATTTCCTTGGAATATTATAATTAATTGCTTCTGTTACGATCAAAATTTAAACATTGGATGCGGTTAGGTATAAAAATCCCGTTAAACAAAGGAATACAAGTCAAGCAATAGAGATCGACGCCCAAAGCAGAAATCAAAAATGTCCTGAAAGCTAACAAGATCTACCAACGCGATAGAAGCGAAACTTTAGCAAAGTACCTAAACAATATGTATACATTTAGCCAAGAGAAAGGAGGAAAGTATAAAAATCGACGGATACAAGCACACGGTATCCGCGCGTCGTTACGCGAAAACGGAAGCGGAAACGGAAGTGGTAGAGGTCTACGGGACAAGGAGAACATGAGCAGGAGTGGAGTTTAGACGACGGGAGACGGGGCTGGGAAAACCAGGACAGGTTGGGGCGAGGGGATGACGAAGGGGCGAAGAGGGCGGAAGGCGGCATCGGAGGCGCAAAGAGGAAAGCCTGAACTGCGGTAAGTGCGATAATTAGCGGCAATTAGCCGCGTAGCCTAGCGTGCGCCTTGCTTACATGCGCTCGCTTGCCTCTCTCGCGTACACGCATTTAATTTCTTCGTCTTCATGCGTTTAAACATGATATCCACACAGTTTCCTCCGCGTTTCATCGAGTTTTCAACGTACGTGCTCGGGAACCGATTGCAAAGTTTTCGAAACCTGTGCTTGTGGCTATTCTAAAGAATTCAGAATCGATGTTTTCTCAATCTTTAATAGACCACGTTTACTACGATGCCAGAGAAAAATAATATTTCTGGACTGTTTCCAGGGCGCGCGATAGCATAAAGTATAAAGTAGCAAAGATTAAAAGAGAGGGCATAGTTCATTTTTCGAAGAACCAAGGGGAGGTTTGTTTGACGAGAAATGGTGTTTCCCCAGTTTAAAGAGGTGTTTCTGCGCGGAAACTTTTTTACATCAACTTCATTCTATACATTATTCTCGACTAATTATATATTCACGAATTAATTCTCTTTCGGCACTCTGGGCTATTAATCTTTCTCGCGGCTTCGAAATGATTTTCTTTTGCAACTTTAACACGCTTTAAAATCGACTTCTGTGTCTAAGAGAGGAGCCTTCCCCAAGCAAGGTCTCCCTGAGACATTATTTACTTAAAAAAGAACTCGGTTTCGTAACGCGAGTCGAGTATCTCGCGGAGCCCCGTAAACGTGAACGATCGACACTAAAATTCGACGAGCAAGGATACTCGCACGCCGCGAACGGATCCACATAGACGGGACGAGGCGGGAACCAATTCCACTCAAGATTACGTTCACCGCGAGTAATTTAAATCCCACGGCTAAGAACGTTACCATAAAACAAGGAATACACGGGGTAAAAGAAAGACGGGCCTTCGTCCCTCCACGGTCGGCTTGTAACCCCAGATCCGCCCCTGTTTCGCGAATCGACTGCACGAAGCGAGACTTCCAGGTTGGCTTGGCAAGCCAAGGAGGAACGCAAAGCGTACACCCCTGCAGTCGAGAAGCTGCCGAGACCCCTGAATAAATGATGAGGATATATTTACGGCGAGCGGTTTTAAATAAATTACAACTGCGGAGACGGCGAAGGAGCATCTTCGTACCGTTTCGCTACCCCTCGCAACCCCTGTTTCCTCGGCGTGCTCCGCCATCTTGACTCGAGTCAGCCGAGTGTATTCCGTGTGTCTACCTTTTCGGGCATTGTTCTTACCTTCGCGTCGATTCTCGGGGCCGGGGGAGCCATGTCTGGGATTATAAACACAGACGGATACTCGAAAAAGAAATGGAAGCGTGCGATACAGATTTAATACGGATAATACAGGTTTTCTATGCTCTAGCTTTTTTTTTGGTTGGATGGGAACAGTTGCTTTCTCCTGGTAATTCGAAATAATTCTTATTTCGTTCCATAAAATTGAAAGGAACAGTGTGTAGGGATCGTCTACTAAGCGCAAGCATAAAACTCGATAAAAGTTCTTACTCGTATCTACTCGGTGAAATTCGGCCTGTTCGACACTAAACCTACCCGTTTCTAACTATTTCTACTGTGATGGTACAAACGACTAGTTTTAAAGACATTTAAAGACATCGTTTCGATTAACTGCAACAACATTTTTTATGTGAAATTAGATCGAATTACGTATGCTTCATATAAAAATTGAATACAAAAATTTGAAAACGGCCATTTTACCGGTCGTTGTAGGTTTAGTACTAATATCGAGATGAGATAAAATCGTTTCCATCTACTCATTGCGACTTTATCGATAAATTAGTTTGTCGACGGTAGTTTTAGGGTTAAAATGAATTATTATTGAAATCCCTGCTCGATCCGAGTAACCCCGATCGTCTTCCGACGTGGACCAGACGTCTCCCTCGATCCCGTTCCTCGTCGTAAACGCGAGCGGACAGTCCTTAAACCGCGCGGTTTCGGCGCGTCGAAGCTCGCGAAATCTTGGTCGTCGGTAGACGAGAGGGGTCCGATAGCGATTTAACGAGGCGACGATTATCGCGATTATACGAGTGGCAGCGAGCGTAGGATCGCGCCAGAGCTCGCCAGGGGGGTTGGGCGGACGGTGAAAGAGGGAGCACAACGGAGGAAGCTACGAGGAGTGGTTTAATGGCGCGTATCAAGCATCCGGCCGACGTGTTCAGCGGTGCTTGCACCGTGGAATCGCAAGTGACTCTGGATGGCCGTCGACGAGGCGGGGGGCCACGATGGAAGGAAGATATTTCCTAAAGACGTAAATACAAACGAAGCTAAAAGCTCACCTCTCGGCGGGCGGTCCGAGGCCCCCTACGGTGCTAGGTGGCGGCGGTGGCGCCCTTATGGGGGTTGGCGGTGGCGTCGAGACGCCACCCAGGGACGGCTGACTCTGCTGGGGCCGCGGACTGACCGAGGCGGAAGTCGTGCTGGGGCTCCTCGATCCTCCAGCTCCATCTGGCCCGGCGTCTTCAGCGTCGGGGGCGCTGCTGCTCGTTGTACCTTTTCGAGGACAGAACAACAATCGAGGTCGATAATGTTTTCTCCAGTATTCGTTGCTTTTAACCGGTTTTTCACGAGTACACTCGCCGCGAACGAAATCTTTCGCGTACGATGAGAACACCGATAGAGTACACCTTGTACATTCGGTAATCCAGCGAAATCGAGTGTCACGAAACATACGTTATCGATGATGCGTACAAATCAACGACACAGTCGCGCACTGGTCAGTCGCGTAATAGGTTACGCGATTAGAACGATTAGTGCTTCTGTGACATGCGGTCGACTGCGTAATGACTCTGCGCACCTATCTCGCGCAGTGGCCAAATGAAATTTTAATTAATTATACTCGTTTACGTAATTTCATCTATCTGTTAATATTCTATAAATTAAATGCACCCGAATATATAAGTTAATTAATGTTACATTATTATGCGTGTATCAACACTTGCCTCGAAACGATAGAAATTACGCCGATGATTTAAACCATTGTTTCGTCCGAGTGTTGAGACGCGAAAGAGTTATAAACAAATTAGTGGTACACATGTACGACGAACACGAAAATAATTTTGTTAGGTCGAGAAACGTCCGAATCTTACGATAATTTATATTCACGCGTTGTTAACGAAGCGCTTGTACACGAAAATTATCCAAGGTAATCGAAATTGTCTTAGCAGTAGTCCTGAAATTCGATTCGTGATCGTACCTTCGGGATCGTGCCCGGTGGGACTCGGACCTGCCGATGAAGACGATGGCGGTGCCAGTCCTGTAGTCTCCAATGTACCACCCCCTCCGCCACCCTCGCGTTTCCTTTGCTCCTCCTTCAAACGTTCGCTTTTCCGCCACTTTGCTCTGCGATTTTGGAACCATACCTAAAAATTGACGGTACGACCGGCTTTAGGTTTTCAGGATGACTCGCAAACAACGTATCCTTTAACGTATCCTTTTTATTTATATACGTACTAATTTTCTCACGAATATTCCTATGCTAACGTATACATACGATAATTTTAACCGAGCTAAAATCTTGAAAAATTTCAAAATTGCTTAACGATGAAATCTATCGAACCAAAGTGTCGATAAATTCCTAAAAGAGAAAAGGAATTTTACGGAGTTAACGAATCGTCGCGCAACATCGACACTCGAGGCGCGACGAAATGTATGGTCGAGAGAACTGTACACAGCCTAATCAACCCGCGACAGGAGGGCTGGGAAGAATGCGAGGCAAATGGTAAAAAAGCAAACGAGAATAAGATGAGGAACGGCACTGAAGGCGGCACTTAAGCTGCTTTAACTACACCTGACTCTTGTGCGCGAATATGAAAGGATAATTGCATGTACGGGGTGGCATTCGTAGCTGGTCAGAGGGGTGGTCTCTTGCTGGTGTACATGTTCAACGAGCCGACAGCAACCACGGCGGCCGAGTGTTTTTTAAAAAGCTCGAGTTCCGCTAACGAGGCTAACTTGACATAATATCAACTGAAATAGACTTTATTATACCTAGCGGCTCGCTGCGACTCCGCGGGTATCTTCACCCTGACGATGTGATGCGCCATTGCTTTCTAGCTTCATATCGGGGATGAATCTCTACGAATTCTGGGGAGCCCCGGGTGAATAAAATAAATTCGGGAAGTGGGACTTGAAAGTTTCTATATCTATATAAATAAAAATGCAAATGTGTTCGTTCGTTTAAAATCTTGGATCTCCGAAAGTTCTTTACGGCGCTCGTTTTGAAATTTTTACGCAGCGTTGCACTCGAATACGTCCGGGTTTTTGTATACCTACGTCACACCTGTCACAGGTAAAACCATCCATCTTGTGGAAAACATCTTTCTCGAGCCATAAGCATCGCGAAATGGAACATATTAGGAATGTTTTAGAAATGTTTGCTCTCTCTTTTCTTTTCTTTCCATTTAACCAGACCGAGCCACTGATAGTAACCCTAAAGGAACGACTCGCGCGCAATTTAATCAGCCACTTCGTTACCTCGGATCCCTCTGAAACATTCCAATAGACCAGCTCCATTTCTCCCCATCGCGATATCCTTCTATTCTAAAGGAAGATGTCTACTAACCTCGTTATCACGTTATATCGTTATCACAAAGAAATTTCCCACTGGCAGTCTTTTATTCCGGTTAAACGAATGAAGCAGAGTTCGCGGGAAAGCGCGGAGGGGGAAAGCAACGAGCTCATTACCGGATTGAAATCGATAATAAAATAAACGTAGCTCCGCGAAGTCGATTACGGTCGTGCAAACAGATCCTCCGCGGGAAGACAAAACGTATTATGGACAGAGTCCTCGGAAATGATTATCCTTAGGTAGGAGAAGTTTCACGGCGGGAAGCTTGGAAAATGGTTTAATAAAATAAATACGACGAGCTCCGCAGCTTCCCACTCCGCCTCGATAGCTCCGAATTCGAGCTCGCGGAAAAAGGACGGGGGATGTTACCAGACTGGGGGGATATAATAATATCCTCAAGGCTGCGGGGGCGAGTAATAGCTGAGAACAAAGCCACGGTTCCGTCGGGACCGGTCGTTCCTCTCCACCCCTGCCATTTTTTTCCCAATACGAATTTAATCCGAAAGACGTCGGTAATGGCGCCACCTCCCCTCATCTCCTCTCCGAGATAAACGCATTTAATGTTTCGACGCTTGTTAGAGAAATGGTGTCGCGAGCCTGTACCGTTTCGTAAATCAACTATTTCGCATCGATTCGTTCCACTTTTATCCACTATTATCGCATATCTCGAATATCATTCGAAGTTGAATTGATTCGAATAACGTTCGACGTGTCCGAACGTTCCAATAACGTGGTTAATGAGAATTGTGAAAATAAAGAGTCGAGTCGATGCGACAGACGCGAAAAAAATATACTCGAGCGACACGTTATTAAATTTGACAAATTTACGTATTAATAATTCCCGAGAATCGTCCAATTGTTTGCGGTTTGAGAATTTATTTCGTGTACTGAAAAATTCACGTAAAACTCGTTTGCCAAAGCTTCTTAACTGCTCATCATGTTTACATTAAAAGAACCGAAAGGGAGAATTTTTGCGCGAAAATTTGTAAGCGCATTAACGCGATGATCTAATGGCAGAAGGTATTGTTATTTTTCGCTCTTCGCGTGCCTCCCTTTTCCCGTCATTTCTCCATTCTTCTTTCTTTCGTAATCTTCTTTCGCCCCTTTTTATTTTTTTTTTTTTTTTTTTTTTATCACATTTAATCCAACGTACGTGGATAACGGCGTTGCTCCGTTTGCCCCGAGTTAAATACTTAATCTTTTGGCACTTGCCACCCGAATCTGCTTTTAATCGTTAATGGACAAAGCGTTTCGCGATTCGCGAACTGCTCGAGCGAAATTCGCGTAATTACGAGGAGCTTTAACTAAGCAGTGGTTTTACAGTTAAGGAAATCGTTCGGTTCGTTGTTCGCCGTGCAGGGATTCCGAAAATAATTTTTGCTCGATGCTGAAGAAGATGAATTGTAATTATCATTTTAACCGAAGCGAGCGAGATTAAATAATTTCATTTATATAATAGGTTGTTTTGAATTTAACGCGAGAGAAACATGAGATTGAACATGCGAAAGCTCCAGATAAAATCTGTTAAATCACACAGGTGAAACGAACCGATACCTAGTCGAAACGCCATACCATTGATGGTTAGGTAAATTCGAGGCGGTGGGTTGGCAGGCATGTACACTTCCAAAAATATGAAAAATTCTAACGCGTTAATCGACGCGATAAGATATTTTTTCAAGAAGCGATACCTTTCCCAACTCTCCGATGGACGACTCTCTAGTTGGCAGCTTGTTCGATCGATTCCTTTGCCACAAACTCTGTCCTACGAAAGGGCAATAGAGGTCTGATCTCCAACGAGAGGCCAGAGTGGTTTCTACGTGGTCCTCTGAAACGCGTTTCCATTACGCACTGTATTAATCGCGAGAAGGTTAAGTCGCCGTCAACAAGACCAAGAACATCATCCCAGCTGGCATTGAAAATTCAGGGGTTGGAAAAGCGGCGCGAAAGGCTTCCGGGGTGTACAGAGGCAGGTGTGCCGGCTCGTATCTCGTTGGCCCGTAATTCGCGTTACACGCTTTGAAATTCAAACGGACCAGAGCACGCGACTGTGGGACGTCGAGGCTCCCGATGCGCGTGCGCTGAACTAGTTTCAACCAGCACGGAGGGTAATTGTCGCTCACAGGCTGGCGAACAAATGTCAGCCGCGCGCGCCCTCGCAGAGAACCTGCCTCGACGATGTTCGTCCACCCCCGCGCCCACCCTTCCCGCACGAGGCTCTAATTGGAGTAGGAGAAGAGAGAACCGGCACTGCATAAACGCGCCTATTTGTCCATTATTTCAGATTCCCTTTGTCTTCCCTAATGAAACAATGAGTCTGCGCCGTAATTGCGTCATAGCCGCCCTGTACCTACCTTCCTCCCATTGTGTACACCGCTGCCTAGCATGGCCTTCTCGTCTTATAATCCGGACAATGCATCGGGATAATACCGTGCCCCTCCGCTGGACGCGACACGCTGAAGGATTCTTTGCCCACTCGCGCGACCATTGTTCCACGTTTTTTCTCATTTTCTTAGCGATCGTTGGTGAATTATCGAACGCGGTGATTAAATCGCCCATTCACCTTTCTTCCGTTTGATAAGCGGTTCGGATTTCATCGTGGAAAAAGTATCCCAATCGATAACGAGTGGAAAGTAATCAACCATCGAAGCGATCGATCACCGAAGCGTGGTTTATCGCTACATTCTCGATTTACTCTACATTATCCTAATGTAATCGATCCTCGAACTTTTTACCACTGATTCCTAATAATTTATATACCGCGTGGACGGTTGAGTTACGAGCGAAAAGAATCCCCATTGGATTCTGGTATTTACGAAGGGAAGGAGGAATTAAAAATCTGACATCGGCGATCGAATATCCTGCAGATGTTCCAACAGGATTTCGGTAGGAAATCGCTATTACTGCAGGGATTCTCCGCAGCGCGAATTACGCTGGTGCGAGTAAATATAGCCAGGAGGACGTAGCCAAGGGTACAAAGTAATCCCAGAGATTACCGGCTTACTCTGTCAGAAGATTATGTCAGGTCGAGGGTGTCAGCAGCTTCCTCGGGCATCGGGTGTACCCTAAACCTAACTCTGAGCCTCGTGCTCTTGCTCTTGAGGCGGGTGATCCACCGTCGTGCCATTAAAACAATTGATCGTTGCGAGTCGTTCGATCCTTCTTGGCCTGTCGACGGTGTGAACCCCTAACCGTGTCAATAAACCTACTTCACCGATCCTATTTGAGTTTCTTCGATATCTGCTAGCTTTCCATTGGATTTATTTCGTACTTCAAATAATTAGGAGCTAGATTTGCCTATGCAATTTTCGTACAATAAATGGATCGGGATATTTTTGAATCGAACCTGTACGAGCACGTTTTCCGCCTCCGATTTTCGTTAGTTACGTAATGTTTGGTTAAACAATATCAGAGAAGCCAAGAAATAGGCTCGAGGAGATTAAAAACCGTGCTCGTAAAGCCAAATTGCACGAATAGGAATATCTGTGGCAGTCGCGCTAACCTGAACTCTGGCCTCCGTGAGGTTAATCTTCATCGCCAGATCTTCCCTGGTGAAGACATCCGGGTAGTGTGTCTGCGCAAACGCAGACTCTAGTTCTTCGAGTTGTTGGAGGGTGAAGGTAGTCCTGTTTCTCCTCTGCTTTCGCCTCCCGAAGGAATCCTCCCCGACACCGTGCAAAGCCGGATGATACGGAGAGTAACTAGTGTCTGTAACACGGAAGAACGACACTTTAGGTCGAGCACGACTAGACGACTTGGTCGTGGCCAATTACACCTTGCCAGCGATTAATAACAATATTTACTGCTCGATGTAGCTATTACGACTCTCGCCTAACGACACGACAACTTGCGTTAAGTAATAACATTTTTTTTAAATAATATTATAAGCACTAAAACATAGCGATACGCGCGAAGAAGAGCTGGCATGTCTTCGACAACCTTGGAACACAGGATGTTAAAATGTTAAAATGTGCAAATGTTAACATTTAGATGCTCGTCCTAATCGTTTTTCAAAAACATCCTTTTATCATAAGGGTGGTTTGATTCTGGGATATCGATCGAGGCAAGCTTTCATCGCTGGCAAGCTTTATGCACCGTAATCGTCAGGTTCGCGATTAAACGGGGAACAGGCTCGTTTCGAACGTCAGGGGTAGGCGTTGTTTACAAATTCAAAAACCGTAGACTGTCCCGATGGGTGGTCGAAGCACGCGTAGGCAAAAGGACCACGGGAGGGACGAAGGGAAACGATGGTATTGGAGCGCGCGTGGAACCACCGGGGGTAGGGGGCGAACGTTTCGAAACCCAGAGAACCGCTTATCAATGATGCAGAGCAATCAGCGCAATTAATTACCGCGGCGCTGAGCCGGGGCTTAACGAAAAACACAAATTAATTTCCTAAGCTCATAAAAATTCATGCGGCACGGCCGGCTGCCGAACGACAGTTCGAGACTGTCGAGATCCGCTATCGACTGCGCCCGAATCGCCTGCACGGCTGCAAAATCGCGTTTCACCGCGAACATTTGCCCGATTTCCATTCTTATTTTTCGCGTTCAGACGCGTCCAAGAAGTCGATATTCGTCGAATTACAATTTTTGGAGTATACCTTAGAATGAATTTTTCAAAGAATGTATTTTAATCGTTGTAAGTCGGGTAAGGTTTTCGTTAAGAGGTTGTTTAATGCGAACAACGAAGTCATCTTCTTGGAAACGTGCCGATTCTTTTGACTATTGACCGCATACGTTTACGCAGTTATGGCAAACGAAAGCATACATTAAATATTTCCATAAACATTCGCGGTCTATTCGTTAATTCTATAGTAAGAAGAATAGAATTTTCAATTTTCTGCATTCTTCGCGGGTCCCGAAATCGATGGCTGTTTGCAAGAGAACGCGATTCGACAATTAAATTCGCCCCAATCGACATGTTTGCAACAAGTCTCCATTGGGCGGGAGGGGGGCGGGAGGGGGGGGGGGGGTGCAACGAAACTTCCGCAACAACCGCGAAACAATTACACCGTCGAGCAGACTCGTATCGTGTCACTGGCGATAGTCTCCCGCGTCTGCAAAATTAATAGGTCCGTTCGCGAGGATTTTCCCGTGCAGGATACATGACTTTGCAATTCAATTTCCCTGCGATCGATGTCCTGTCCTCGCGTTTAGTGCCACTCTTTTCATCGCGGAAAATGCGTCCCTCGAACGTGCCCTGTAATTATCGCGATTCGATTATTCATCCGTGACTTTAACTTCAACATCGTAAAGCTCAGTAATATCGTTCGAATGAAACTGTATCAACCAGTTTATCGTACGTCTCGCAAATTTTCTAAAATAATTTATACAAACTTAATTCGAGATGAAGGTGAGACATTTGAAATAATTTATTTCGAACTGTTACCGTCGATACAGTTGTTTCTAGGACACGAATAATATCCTGAGAGCCCTGAAGCACGTATACGTTAAGAAATGTTTAGAGCAATCTAATTCGATACGAAATAACGGTGATATTATTTCGGGAAGCTATCCGGGGTCTGTTCAGTCCTGATAAAATCCAAAATCACAGTGTTCCTGGTTCGAATTCACGCTTAACTCATCGGGAACCCAAGGTGTCCCCTTAGGATGATTTCAACGACAGAAAATTGGTAATACGAGGGGGTGGGGAATCGAGACCGGTTGGTCGGCTAAATGCATTTATTGGTGGTCGAAAGTGAAATCCACTCAAGATCTTAGATTAGGCTCGGAGGCCGAAGTAAAGCCTGGCCGCACGGACAACTCGTGCAACTCGTCGAGACTCGGTTTGATCCAATTTATTAGCGTACTCGGAGGCGTAGAAGAAAGCGAAAACCCGTTTCCCCGCTGACTTTTGCGCTTGCACACGCCTCTACTTGGCTGTCCTCTCCGTCTGGCTTTGTTTCCCCGGGTTCCCGTTTCGAAAACAATAGGGGGGAATTAATTTCTTATCGCTATAGAAGAGACAAACAGAGAATTCTCGCACGTGCGTCGCCGACGTGCTACGTGCGCTTTTAAAACACTCTGTCGTCCTGTCTGTCCTGCGAGAGGACCGCCCTTCGTTTGCTTCCGTTCGAAACGCGTGCCTCGCGAGGGCTGCGGGGGTGGCTCATCCCTCTCGACAAGGGCTCGGGTCCAGGTACAGCTAGAAATTTGTTCTAATCAAATAAATTGGACGAACAGAAGCGCAGGCAGTCGGTTAGCTTTGTTTTGTAATTGATGGATCCTTGTACTATTATTTTTAGAGATGCTAGCCTCGACAGCCTTGGAAAACATCGAATTCTTCGAAATCACGCCGTAAACGATTTTCGTGTATCGCGGAAAACAATGGATACGTCCACGTGGACCAACCTTTGCAACGACAAACAAATTTGAAATTATAAAAGGAGTTCTATCGATCGATCGCTTCAACGTTCCCTTTCCCGATAAAAATATAAGCGGGGACGCAGGTCTGCTAGGAAGTTGGCGCGACGCGAGGACCTCGGGGAGGGTTCCGTGGAAAAACTAGACACAGAACGAAATCTAATGACACCCCGACCGTTACTAATGACACTAACAAGGTAGTTAGATGTTACAGGGAACGTCGGTTGGGCTCGTAGCCGGACCGTGGGCCGAGTGAACCCACTTACCGACTTATCACGTAGTTACCTAATCTGTTTATCCCAACGGGGGGTGAAGGAGGACGAAGCTGTGACCGGCTGTGGGGGGAGCCAGGAGGGTGTACGGACGTGTCCCCGAGGACACCCCTTCGCTGCCCCTTTTGCACGAGATCATCTAGCAGGCGTCACTTCGGCGCACATGTGCGAACTTGCGCGTCTCGCGTTTTACAGGGAACGAGGATCACCGTCGCGGTTGAATTAATTAAAGGTAGTCGAGGGGGTACGATTGGTGGGGTTGGCGAAGGTAAATTATATCCATTAATTTTTGCTGCAACGTAAATCGAAACGCAAACGTAATTTTACAATTGCGAAAACTATCATCTTTCATGTTTAATTGCGATCGCGTGTACTTTCATTCAAAATGAAAACAAGTTGAATGTATTTCGTCTCATTTATACTTGAAAATTTCACTAACGTTACGTCTACCCTGCTTGTTCAGACTGTATAGCTACATATATCGAGTTTCGTTTCGATCATGACATGCACTTAAAATCTACGCAGACATTTTTCTAATTCAATTTAATTTCGATCAGAGAATCTTTGAGCCCGCTTTAAATTCTTATCGGGCGTCGTATGAATTAAAAATGAATGCTTATACGTTTGGTCGAGAACTATCGAGGTGTAATTGCGAACTCTTTGGAGTTCCATTGTCCGTTCGAGCTGAAGCTAGAGTGCGGGTAAACAGTGTCACGTGACTCGGACAGGGGCTGGTTGAATAAATGTTTAACGAGTCGTTACGTGTAAAGTACCATTATCGAAATTTGCGACAAGACTCTAACGAACCCGAAAGTCGGAGTACAAGTTCGTTAAAAATTGATACGAACAATTTAATTTAATTCGCGGGCCTCGGTCTACTCATTTTCAACAAAATATTAACTCAACCCCTGGCAATAGTTAACAGAGGAAAACTGTATACTCCACGATAAAGCGAAACTTCGTAATCAACTTTCAATTTTCAAGTTATCGATCGTTTTTCAATGAAGCGCTCTAATCCACGATAAACGCATCTACGAATTTCGTTTAAATTTAAGTAGCGATACCGGAGCGCGTCGCCGATAAAGGGAATGATAAATGCGCATTAAAAACATAATTTCAATTTTCGCTGAAATTAATATTTTATTTCGACTATGCCGCGAGCCTAGACGAAGGGGCACTTACGCGTCCCCGAGGATACCGAGTCTCCCTTCTCCCCTGCACCCACGATCCCCATTCGATTATGTTCGTACCATATGTATCTCATCGAGGCTCGTAATACGCGATAAAGTGAGGGCATACATCCGTCTTCCCGAAGTAGAAAAAACCAACTTCAGTTTTTTGTATACAATACTAGCTGCACACCACGTAGTATCACCCGCGTGGGAATACTATTTATTTGATGTCAACCGCGCGTTTCATCGTGAATCAGTAGGTGACTGCGACCATCTTTTGTTTCTGATCGCGAGTATCGTTATACTTTATTTACAAATATCGGGATCACGAAGAGAAATTTTATTTTTATCAAAATCTATGCTACCAAGGAATAGTGTAGCTTTCTATTACTGACAAAATATTTAGAATCGTTTCAGTAGTTTCAGAGATCACACCCACGTACAAACAAATTTTACCTCTTGAGAATATTAATATACGTGTAAATAAAATAGAACACCGAATCTCCATTAAATTCATTTAAAAATGCCGTGTAACACATCGAAATATATAATTACGTCTTTCTAATAGCAGGAGTAATCGTTCCCAGTGGTTCTACGAATCGAAGAAACGAAAACCTGCCGTGGGTGAAAGTTCATCGTCGGTCGTCTCGACGAGAAACGAAATTTCCGGTGTTTCCGAAGATTCGACATTTTTAAATCGACCTGGTCGCGTAGAGTAGAATAGTTGCAAACGGGGGTTAACGTCTTCCGAAGAGAAAACGAGGTTTGACTTGGAAAGTGATCGGTGAATAAGCAGACACGCCGCCGTCCAAGTTCTCAAGAGCGACCAGGCACCGCCGTCGGGACGCGGTTTAACCGGAAGTTGGTTCGAAGTGCAAATTAAGTTTAGCGACCGTCCAGTTTGTAGCGTCCACTTTGCGTAACTCGGTCTAGTCGGTAATGTAACTTCATCGATGTGTTCCGCCAGAGCAAGTGCCGGTACAATCAATCTCCCTTTTCTCCCTTCCTCCCCCTCTTCCTTCGCCAGCCCGTACACCTTTGCGTCCACTTGTATCTCGTTCCCTCGAAATACCCCCCCTTTTTTTTTTCACTAGATCCTGCGGTGAATTCTGTTATCTTCGTTTTCTCGTTTTATTTCGGAACCACGCAGCGATCGTTTCCTGTCCGGCTGTGGATTACCGAGCCTCGCGAACCAAGCATAGGAGTCCGAACGAAAAATAAAGCACGGAGATTCGTATTCTACGATCCTCGGATCCGCGATAGTTTTCGAGTTTATCTCGCGGTTCGGGAAGCGGCGACAGAACGGAATTGTTTAATCTAGAATACGGTATCCTAATTTTGATACAGGAAGAATTCAATTTACGTTGCCTTCGTTGTTGCGTGTACGCGGTGGGAAATCGCGTCGTGTCGGACGATTTTTCATGCGGCTCGTTTTAAAGTCTACCCCGCAGCGACTGTAGTGAAATTGAGGATGAATAGCGAGGGAGGAAATAGATGAAAAAATGTAAGATTATGGACAGAATCAAATTTTTCTTACGGGGGTAAATCGGGGCGAAACGATACTCTGGGGACGCTCGTAATCGTGTCGCTGGAGGGTATGCGGGATCCTCGATAGAAGAGCATGTTTGCGGACTCGATTACTCTATTCGAATTTACTTTGTTCGAAATTCTGTCTTCTCGTTTGTTTCCGACCGGTAAAATACACAATTTTAATGAGAAATCAAGGTATACCATGGTTTCGCAACCGGACGAAACAACGAAACGGTATAAATTATGTTGCGCAGCTCGTTTCATGGTTAAATGTACAATTCGAACGATGTTTGTTGCAACACCGTTGACTGCTCGACTCTCCGATCGTAAGTTAGAGGAGACTATGGTTGAATATTGGCTGAAGTACAGGCTGCGAATGGAATATCTACTTACAGGGGTGAGTCGCGGTGAAGGGGTAGTCAAGGGATGGCGGTAATCGCGGTGTTGGGAGACCCGGGGGGCAGTGGTAGCAGAACATTCCCCCAGCCCTGGCCACCGTGCCACCCCCCGGCCCTCCACCCCCTCCGACTCCAGGCACCTGCGGTTGACTCGACTGTTGCTGCTGTTGCTGTTGCTGATGATGCGAGTGGTGATGGTTATTGTTCGGTTGGTGGGTGTGAACAGTTCCAATCTGCAACGGAAACGTTCTTGTATTAGCAAAGTAAAACTAACCGGATAATTTTAACGAAACAAAAACGACTTAAAGCTTAACGTATGATTAATTTATGATTAATAAAAGTATCATCGTTGCGTTGAATACTTCAAATGACGCGAATAAACGTCCATTTTCATTAGAATTCTGCGGATCGTTTATACTATTTTTTATTTATATTTCAAAATATGCGGTATCTATACATACTCATGCTTATTCGATAGATCGTACGATTCAAAAAAAGAAAAAAAAAAACGGCACAATTATTTAAAAAATTCACGGATCCACTAGCGTGGAATGTATAGATTAAAGTCAACGAAAGTATACGTATCGTTTTTAATTTTCTTCGTTTTCTAAAAATACGAAGCGACTATTAATTCGTTCTATTTCAACGTAATTATACGCAAACGAAACGATACGAATCGGGAGTAAACGGTTTGGTCATTTTTTTTTACGAAACATTCCCAGCGTCTTATCCGAGATCCTAAACGCGTCTCTACCGAAAACACGAGGACCGAAGCAACGTTTCAGTGCGCGCTCAAACGATTCCTCGGCAGCGTCCAAATCACCCCCGAAATTCCATTTACTCCCTCTGAAAGGAAACTACGTGCATACGTAAAGCGAAACCCGAGCCGGTAATCCGTCGTCGTGGAAGGTCAGGCAGCCGAAACGAAAATTGGCTGAATTTCGTTAAGTTTGGCAGCAATTACTTTTGATACCCGACACGCGGCCGTAATTGCGTTGGGCCAAGCAGAAGCAAGAGAGGGGTAATAATTCGCTAATATCAATTTCAAATTTCAATTAGTATCATCTCGACGTCTGCTACGCTCGCGTCCAACCCTCCCCCCCCCCTCCCCCCTCTTCGAAACACCCAACTACAACCCCCCCCTGCCCGCCATCTCGCCCCGCGCAGCTCCCTCGGTTCTGGTGGACCCCCAGAAGAGCACGGCATGATCTAAAATTCAATTTGTCCCTTGTAGCGGAGCCGCAAAGGGCGAGGGAGCGACGAAGAGGAACAAACGGAGAAGAAGAAAGCCAGAGATAGAGAAGGATAGGAGGGGTACGGCGTAAAGGGTGGGAAGCAAGCAACGCGGAATCGCGTCGTTGGCGGCGGGCAAAGGGCGAGGAGGGGATAGTTAGAATACACCGAGTTTAAAGCCACTCGCGTGCACGCTGTTATGTAACCAGAGATACGGCCCTGTAGGCACGCGCATGCGCGACACGCCGACCCATTATAAATTGATAACTACGCCGTTTATTAAGTTCCACGACCGATGGCTGCTTAGGCAAAGAGCCCTCCACGCTCCTCGCCCGATACGTGCATTATTTATTTACGAGAGTTTACAATCCCTCTAATGGAGATCGGCATAATCGGTCGCCCATACGCCTCTTCCGCCCAACCCCCGACGGTCGTGAATCGGTCACCCTCCGCGCGGTGCCACCCCTGTTCCCTCTTAATCGTGTTTCGCCCTGCTTTTCAAAATTCACGCGTCGAGGAAATCGGAAGTAGATGCGCCAGCGACTTGGCCGCGCTTTGACCCGCGGATTCTTCACGAGGAGCCCTACGGCCCGTCGGTTCGCCAAGCGTGGAACACGCGAAAAATCCGAATTAACGATAAATTTCTCGAATTAGAAATTTAAACGTATGTATACAATTCGTATGTCGCGCGTAAAAACTGCGTACAAAAGTTTGAAAGCAAGAGTTAGCGGTGATATCGTTCACGATTCGCGCGAATCTTTTCGAACGCGTTCTAACGATACACTTGGTACGGATTCCCAGTTGAATAAACACCGAATCGAGCAAAGCATCCGATTCGCGACCAGTGACACCGGTAAACGGATCAGCCGATTTGTCGCAGGTAGAAAGAACCGAATCACCGATGAACCCCATTCGGAATCGACCACCCCGCAGGCTAGCAGCACTCGTGGAGTACGCGTAATGACGGAACATACGCGCCGACAGAAGGGACGAAATGTAGCGAGGCTAATCCGCGACGAGTCCCCGAGGGTGTCCCCGGAGCCGGGTATCCGAAGAAGGGGGGCACAGGCTTAGAGCGAGTCTTTGGCCCCTAAACACGCAGAGTATACGCGACCCTACGTCCCTCAAAAATAAACCAGCATGCGGCCAAGGGGTATATTTGCGGTGTTCAACCAGCCAGGCGAAACATTATGCCAGTGTTTTATTGTGCGATCATCCGACTGCACCCCGCCGCATCGGAAGGGATTGTGGCTTCGAGTGGAGTGTGTTTACACATCGCCACACGCGCTGGATTCGTTACACGCTCGTTATACTCGTTGCTCGTTCGCGTAATCGTTCGTTATACCATCGGGGATCGTCGGGAATTGATACTCGAGTCGAAGCAATTTTTCGAGAATTCGTACGATTCGGGGATGGTCTTTTTCGGGGCACGTTCGCAAGGTTTGCATTCGAAATAGTCTCTCGACAGGTCTTTGCACGCACGGGAATCAGTTGAGGAGAGAATGTTCTATCCGTATCTCGTTTTCAATTTTTCTTTCATTTGCGATCGATCCCTCCGGACTCGAACGAGTCTTCGGGGGACAAAATCACTGCGAGGAAGAACGAAGAAACTCCGGGCCGAGTGTAAACTGTTTGCTTCGTCGAGATCGATAAATTAACACTTTGACGTTCGTTTTGTGAGATTGTCTGGAAGACTGGAGAACGGTTGAAGAAACAGAAGCTCGAATACGGTTGAACTCGACGTTGAAGGAACATAGATCGATTCTATAGAATGGATTTTAATGGGGTTATTAAGCCGATGTACAAAGCAGGGTAAAGTGTTATATTATTATATAATGATAAAGGCAGGACAGAAAGTTCGCAAGGTTGAATTACAATGCAGGTCCACGCTTGTTCGCTAACAAAATCCACTTATCGAAGATCGCGTTCCGTTAACGTTAAAAAAAGAAAAACGTCGAACAAAACGTCTTCTTATTTTTACGAACTCCCGACAAAATATGCTAATCGCGAGCATCGATACGCTGATATCGACGCGCGCGAGTGCAGACTGGCCAGCTACGAAGTTTACGAAAATTAGCAGCGACGTTGGGCTCCGTATTTCTGCGCGAGTAATGTACACATCCGATGGTTCGGTAACCCGAATTACGGAACATCCGGTAATGCAGGTATTCAATTATTTGGGTACACGTAGGAATATCTTGTTACTGGCAGTTCTAATTGCGGGATGGTGGAAGGGACGGGGGTGTAGGGGGCAGTGTTATCGAGTTATCACAGTTTAACATCCTTCCAAGTAGCGTGCATCATTCATCGGACCAAAGAACGTTAACGGTAATCGCGTTTCATTACCGTGGATTATCGAGGAATCGAAACACGGAAATAGTTATTTATGTGGATCCCGTGAGGTACGAAAATCTGACGAGCAATATTTTTCGCTGCAGTTTAAATCTTATTTTATTTAAATTTTATTTTAGTTGACAAGTTCTTTAATTATATTCACGTTTGTCTGTAGGATTTTAAAAGTGCACAAGTGCGATAATGGAAAGAACGTGTCCGGGGGTGGTGGGAGACGAGACTTCGCACTCTCAAAAAATGCACTTAACGATCGAAACATGCTCGGCTGGTCTCGAAGCACATTTTTCCACAAAATAGATGCCGCGATTACGCTCGACTCCGATTTTTTCCTTCGATGCAAGTCAAACGATAAAAACAGACGAATTCTCCGAACACCCTACTTCGAGTAGTACCACGTGTAATTTTCCCGGAAGCTAAAAATAATTCAGATTGTACCGATTCGGTACGTTTCCAACTTTCTCTACCCCGAATTACCTCGGTAACCAAGGCTATCATTAATTCAGTCGATCCTTGAATCAACGCCGCGTCTCCTCGCGGGGGAGAGTAACAGAGACAGCTGCAATCACACCGTAGACGTAATACTCGTTCCAGGGATTCAACCCTCTGTGTGGCGTAGGCGAAATCGTAGGGTGGAAGCGTCGAGAGCGCGAAGGGAAGGTGGCGCGGCTGGGCTCAGCGTGACGGCAAGCTAATTATAGAATTATCGCTTTTAATTGTGATTCGTGCTATTTGCGCAATGGCGGCGCGATTGTCGTCGCGTGCCGAATTATTGAATGTTGACGTCACCCGATGCCGGCAACGCTTTGCTCGTAATTGCCGGCACCAATTATGCAATTAGCGCCGCTCTCTAATGAGCGCAGTGTTATACGCGCGGAATCTAAACACTCGGTCTACGCCAACGAACGCGTTGGTAGGATTTCGCCAACTTTTATCCAGATCTCGACGAGTCGATTAGCTTCGTCGGAAACAACCGTTGTTGGTACATCGAGTCTTTATAAGCCAGCGGTGAACTTTATTTTCCGATTTTCCAATTGTACGACATTGCGTAACACCGAACGAGACGGTGGTGTTACGGAACACAGCCGTTATTTCTAAGCGGGAGATGACTGGATCATTATTTGTTTATTCGACAAAAATGTGGAATCTTTTCTCAGGATAAATTCCTGAACTAAAAAGGAATCGCAAAACGCTTTTGCCGTTTTGAATTTCGATGCTTCGTTGTCTAGATATAAACGATTAGAGAGAGGAATCCGATGGGATTCCTGGCGCACGCATACGCTCAGGCAGGAGTCGTGCGACAAGTCTGACTGCTTGTATCTCCCGAACCAGGCCTAGGATCTCTAAGTAGAAAAGAACATTTTTGTTCGAATCGATCTCGAGATAGGTTCCAAATTTGTCCACGGTGTTTGAAATGGAAATCCGTCGTGCTCGCATTCGAAGCCAACGATTGGTCTCAACGACGTCGATTAAAATTCGTCAGAACTGATCCCTTATTAAGATAAAAATTCTCTCACACGTAATTCTCCAAAGCGTTCGAGGACGGTTACGCAGAAGCGAAACGAGTGTTAAATGGCACCGAAGCTTCCAACAGAAATAGAAGCAGCCGTGACGCGATAAATACAATTAACCGAGCACGCACAAACTTCCT